TTTTTTTTTTTTTTTTGAATTTTCGTTGTGTTTGCGGATGTTTCGCCGAATTGATTGCATGTTTATTAATTGGAGAGAGAAACTAAGCACCAAGTGAGAGAAAAAAAATCACGTAAATGTGAAAAAAAAATTACATCGAAATCCTCTTTTGATTTTAGTTTATCCAGTTTGTATATATGTAGATAAATGTAACATTGAGTCTACGTATGTAAATTTCCCTTACTTATTTATTACGTGAATTGGGCCAAGTAGTTTAGCTTAGTTGTAGCAACAAATAATATCTAGCCCAATAAATTAGTTAAGATTATTGTATTTCTTTATTTATTTATTTTTTTTTATTGTAAATAAGTAGTTTATCACTCTTTCAAATTGCATTGTTTTAGCTTAAATAGTCATTCATGAATGATTTGTGTGGTTTAATCCCCCTCCCTCTATTAATCCAGAACGCGCTGAGCCTACGTGTTTTCTTCTGGTGCTTCGAAATCATATGTGGCAAAATTACATGCTTCGTTATTAGGCTTGAGTAAATTTTAATTTAATTTCAGACAAAAAATCATTAGGTTCGGATTACCATAAATATGTTGATTATTTATGGTCATGTTACATGTATTAATTGCATTTTAATATCATTCCTTATTATAACCATTGAATTGTATATATATTTTAAAAGTTAACAATTTTTGTATTTTTTATCAGTTTTACATATGTAATATATCAAATTAATCTTCTTTTGATGAGCTTCAATTTAACATCTATATTGTATGAATAAAAAATAATTTATATTTATCTTTATAACAATAATAAAATTATTTTTAATATTAATTAGAAAAATAAAATTATTTATCAACTAATATATTTAAATTTCAAGTATTTTTATGATATAAGTTATAAAACTAATATAATATAACACATGTAAGTCATAAGTAACACATATCATTCTAAAATATATAGTAATATATTTTTTTTTTGTAAAAAAAGTAAACTAAATTTAATATAGTTTTTTCATTAATTTTAAAATTTAAGAATATTTTTTTAACAAGCACCCGTGTAATACACGGGTGTTGTACTAGTTTTTAAATTATTTACGCATGACTTAATTTTAAATGTTGTAATTTCACCAAAAAATAAATTAAAAATTTTCTAGGCTTATAAGAACAAAAACGAAAAGGAACAATCAATAAGCAGCAGAGAGAAAACATAGCGGCCTACCTGTGAACTCTTCTCGCCCTCAATTTAGATTCTCTTTAGGTCTATGTTGAATACACCACTGTCGAATCAATTTAAGGGTGTTCGAATGGTTTATTTGTGATTTATTTTTAGTTCATTACTCATTTTTGAATGATTATTAAATGATTTATATATGATTTTTGAATGTTGCATATTTATACAAAGAAAATTCGTAAATATGTAAAAGGTCATTTTTTTTTATTTTTTTTTTGTCGTT